TTTATTATTGGGTGAAGTTAAGTGAAAATCGGCCATTTATATAAAACTTATTTTGTTTTAAGGTAATATTCATTGAACTTTCTTGTTATATCAAATTAAACAATCAAAAACGAAAAACAAGCTCTTTCTCTCATTACAGAATATCTATCTATCTATCTATCAATATGAAACAATCGATACTCCGCATATTTGATCTATATTGTATTCAAGCTTCTAGTAAACATGTCAGATATTGATCAGGGGGGAACAAAATAAAAAAACAAATCTTATCTGTTTAAACTGTACATTATACATTTGTTTCAAATAACATTAACTGTTGTAACAATAATTCTTTATTAGCAAATCTATAATCTTATTCTTTTAATTGCAGTTTATTCTACTAGTTCTTTATACTTTCACATTCACCCTGTGTACTTTTAATAAGTTAATATTTTTTCTAGGTTTTTTTTGTCGCCCTGCAAAGTTTTTTCGAAATGAAAGAGATTCTTCGTTTGTAGATGAGCATGTCCGATTCACTACCGTGCCATTGAAAACATGAAATTTGATTATGTTCAATTGTGTGGTTTCTCTTTAGAGTTCGATTTTGTATACTTCAACACTTCACAATGATAAAAAACAAAGATGTCTTCCAGTTTATTGATCAGATATAGGGTTAAAGGGTACCGTTGTGAATCGTGAATACCTCGCTTTCAATTTTGGGGTACATAAAATTACAACTTTAAGTTATTAATTTACTTTTCAATCCATTTTTTTCGATTAAAATTTTCACCTTTTGTTTCTGACATTTATTTCTATTTAGGTAAAACCACCATATTCACAGAGATCAAGGCCTAGCAAGCTTTGATGAATTATATGTTACACAATTAACTTCCTAAATTAATTTTTTGTATTTTTTTTAGATCGGAAAAGTGTAATTAGTCAACACTTTTTTTCAGTTAAAATTTGTTCAGAAATTATTTCTAGAAAAACCATCAGATTACAAAAATTTCAACCTTAAAAACCTTGGATTACTTGGCTAATGTGTTTTCTAAGGAGGGGAGGGGGGGGGGGGTGCACCTGTCCAATTTTAAATTTTGAGATTATCTGTCCCTGCAGGATCTTTTTTTTATTGTTTTAAAATAAGTAGCACCGAATCTACAATTAATGGATTTCATTTTGTTCAGAGCCAATCCAGTTTAATCCAAATGGTAATTCTAAGATGATAGTCTTGTTGCGATGTTGCCGAACTTCAATATGAAAATATAGAATAATATTACCTCTGGGAAATTACATTTAGCGCCAAAATAGAAATTGTGCGGTTTTTATTTAACAATAGCCTGGCATCCATTTCCTTTTGAAATTTGCTTTACTCATAGTGTCATGAAGCATAACCGATACAACAAGTTATGATAAGGGCGGGCCCACCATACACAGGAAACAGACATGTATACAAAATTTTCCCAATTGTGTGACACATGCGCCATTTTGCCTCCGCCCATGAGTCGGCCATCTTGATTCCCCGGATAATAATTAAGAACAGGGCGGGGCATTCGCGCAGTAGACAATTATACGGGACATTAACGCTGGCATGGAAGACATTTACAATGTGTTTTCAACATTTCTGCCGACATTTTAACATCAGAATAATAATTTTCCCGAGTCACGCAAGATGATATTTTTTGCGCCGTGAGGGGATAGGCAGTGGGCGCATTGCAAATTTGCTTATGCAAGTCATATCAGTTTGCAGCCTGAACCTTTAGAACTCATCTTTAAGTCTTTGTCATCTTTGCTTCTCTCTTGTCCCGAACAGTTCGAAAATGTTATCCTTGTCCAAGATTTTGCCAATTTTTGCAAAATGTTAGTTCTCACGCTGCTAATTAAAAATCAATTAATTGTTTAATTGTTTTCTATAAAAACCCTCGGTAATTAGATCATTTAATAAAACTTATAGTAATTAATTCAAGGGTTGTGCGCTAAACGTTTCACCAATTAGTGAATTATAAGAATTCAACTCGTATAAGGACCATATAAGGTCTTCTTATCTGTATATGCTAATTAAACCAAATAGCACATTTAAAGCATAGACTAACGATATTTTGTACCCACGGTTCGTATGGAGGACTCATTGGGAAAATTAGCTCCCTTTACGAAAAACGGAATATTCTGGAACATTACAGGAAAAGGTTCCGGCAATTTTCGGATCACAAAAAACAATTCCGGAAAGCTACAGAATTCCGGATTTTCTGAAACATTTTTTCGTATGAAAACCGGAATACCGGAGGAAAATATAAAAGAAGAGACTTTAGAGACGACTGTACGAACTTTTGACGTCACTCGATTTTCTCTTTATGGTTCCTGCAGGCTGCAGCTTTACAATCCTTACTTTATTTGCCATTTCATTTAGAATACTTGAATAAGACCATATTTAAGACTAATGATAAAATTCAACCTTTAAATCGATGTTAGGCTTGGTTTTAAAAGAATGTTAAAAAACCCTTTTCACTCTCCACTAAACCCCCACTTTTCTTTCGGTTATAGTTCTGCAAAACTACTGCAGTACACTGTGATTTAAAGGTCTCAAGCTCTCAAACAAAAATCGATGAGAATTTTGCCAATTACTTCTTAAAAACCAAAGCTACCAGTGCTTTATAGTGCTAAAATGCACATGTAAAGGGCTACAGAAAAGCAGTGAGTTAAAGCGGTAACAAGGCATTGCCAAATTTAAAAAGTAGACCCTGTCTTAAAATTGAAGAGACTTTTCATAAGCAGGCTCAATCTATATGAGTAACGCACCAAAAGCTTAGTTTGGGGAGTTTTGTTTAAAAAATAATGGATTGCTCGAACAAGGCTGAGACTTCGATGACGACCTGAAACTCGTTACATATGACGATTTGAAGATTTTAAGAAAAATATCTGGCAAAAAAGAAACAATTGAACAGATATGCATGGAATCATTTATGTAAACATATAGATATAAAAAACACTGTCTTTGTGGGTGGCCTTTTATATAAATTATATAATTCTTTAATTCCCCGTCCTTAAAAAAAGAGAAAATTGATTTTTTTACTTAAATAATGAATGAAGTGACAGATTTCGACCTCTCATATAAAAAATAGAATACAAATATTCATTACATTCATCATGTACTATGTACAGTTGTACACCATGTATCTCATAGATATTGTACATCATTGTAAACAAACAATTTACTTCCTGCAGTACAGTGGATACCAAACCATAGATAAATAATTATATTTAAACCTCTTTACCGATTAAAATACTTTTGAATATATTTTAACTATCTATATAAAAAGACTGGTCAAATCTTCATTGTGTGTGTGTACACTGCACAGGGACTCACATCACGCATTTTAAGGTATACTTCGTTTTTCATCAGGGTTCCATTTTTACATTTTCGAAATTTCGCAGCATTTCTGACCGACGGACACCAATTATAGGTATGTAACACAATAATTTAGAAAGTAGTTTCAAGTTTGCCATTATGACTTGTTTGAGTTAGGAAATCTATTATTTTTGTATTGTGTGATCACATTATGTTCTCTCAAGATTTAATCCGAGATTTATACACAAATCATAAGGAATTAAATAAATAAAAAGATGGATAAGATAGGAAAATTTCACAAGCTACATTGGTATCTTATTGATCAGACAACCCATGGGAACCCATGGTTGGAGGCAAAGAGAATAGAATATATATTAGAGTAGAATTTACTAGAAAAAAGTGTAAATGGCCATTTTGATGTACTGTTTCCATACTGCAGGTGTACTTAACATATTTATGCTATATAACCTTTTGGGCCCTGGAAGGTCATTTTATAGAAAATCTAAAATTAATATTAAAAGAAAACCAAATTATGAAATAGGCTGGTTTCATAATTGACAACCCATGGGAACCCATGGTTGGAGGTCACCTAGGCTAAATAAAATAGGACTTTTTCAATTCCACGGGCAACACCGGGCACTTCAGCTAAAATTATAATTTAAGACTAAGCGCGGGTAATCGGCGGGAATAATGAAAAAAAAAACCTGGGCAATGCCGGTCAATTTAGCTAGTATATAATAAATAAAAACTAAAGGTGTGCGTATTTATATATTTTGCTAGATGTGAGTAGGGGTGGGTATAGCACAATAATACCAAAATACTGTACAATTAAAGAGTATAGCGTACACTATATTAATATCAGCAACCTCCTTTGCACAATCATGATTATTCAAAAACTACTTTGAGAATACGGGTTTTTTTTGAAAAACTTCGGAGAGTGGGATGTTATTTTACTTAATTTACCCAAGGGACAGTCAAGTAACTTAACATCCCGCTGTCCAGGGAATCATGAGTCGGTAGTGTTGGTCAGAAGGAGATAAAATACAAAAAATTATATTGAGGAAGAAAGCGGGGGGGGGTTATTACTAATTCCTTAATGATCAGATAATTAGATTTTATTTACGTTAATTAGTAGACATTAACTACAAAATTGAAGTTTTATTGATTTATAACTTACTTTTCAAATTATTTTAATAACTTAATGATGTACGATGTCAAACTTGAAGAAAATAACAATTAACTTAAATAATTAGTAGACATGACTTTTTTCTAAATTGATTCATTGCAGGCAACGCCAACATATTTTTAAAAAACTTATTTTTTTCTAACAATTCTTGATTTGACATTCTAATAATCTAAATGCATTATGTTCTCAAAGTAAAGTAACACATGTCATATTTTAACAATTTCTGACTCAGCTTAATAGCAACAAATAATCAAATAATCTAATCACTGTCGTCTTTGGTTTGGGGTTTTTATCAATCAATCACTATCCACGTCCACATTGATATCGGCAGAGTTTGCCTCTGAATCCTCGTCAATTGGTGAGAGTAAGGGTGGTGAGGCTAGCCTAGGTGAGGAGGGAGGGGAGGAGTGCTGATCAGGGCTCCCTCGGCACATATCCAACTCAAAAGGACGAAATAAATTGCCGCGGTGATTTCTCCGCCATTTTGCTCGCCGGTTGGAAAACCAAACCTAAATATATAAATATACAAACTTGATAAGGTGATAAAATAAGTACAAGAAAATTAATCATCTTTCAAGGTCGGTTCTACTCTCTACGCTTGGCTAGGCTAGATATATGACCAGTTTTGGATTACAATATTGCCACACAAAAAATCAGAAATAAACACAATTTTCAAATTTTAGCCTTAAAAAAAGACTTAATAATCATTAGAGCACTTTAAAGCCAGCCGGGTCAGTAAAGTAGACTAGAAATCTTTAGTCGCGGTAAGGCGGGAAAATAAAGTGTTTACCAATTGAATGATTTTTTTATAATTTGTACCAAAAGTAAAACTCTTTATCTAGATTTTTAGTATATTGTTAAAAAATAAAGAATGCTGCATGCTTACTATACATAAGAATCTTGTTATAGAGCAAAGGTATTGATTATTGTAGAGAACAAGTGTATCAGCTATAATGCTTGTAGTATAATTGCCACTTCCATTAATTGTTTCAGATATTTAAAACATCTGTATAGAAAACTATTATTGTAACCTCAGAAAAAAAAGTTGTGATAAAAGAACTAGAAAGAAAACACTCAAGGTTCGGTGAGCAAACAACAAATGCAAAAGGAACCATTGCTACGAAATTAAACAGATGACTTGTGTTTTTAGAAGTTTAAAGATGGAGGAACTTTCTCTTTGTATACGCTGAAAGTATTTAAAAAATATATTTGACTCAGGCGCGGAACTAGGGGGGGCAAGGGGGCAAGGACCCCCTATCCTGATTATGGGGGGGCATGTCCATCCCTTAAGTCCAACCTGTTTTGAAATTTATCGATTCATGAATTCCCGGGAAAGGGGGTTTATTAAGAATTTTTAGATATTTAGGAAAGCAATTATATCAATACAATGAAGACGACTTTCGACATAAACATTGAAGTCAAGAAAAGCTGTCAATTAAAAACACTTCTCTTTGTTTACTTGTTTACTTAAAATTCGAAAAAAGCAACCAAAACTTAAATTGCTATATTCGCCTGTACACTGTAAAAAAGCTTGTTAACAACCAAAACTAAAAATGCTATATTCGCCTACCACTGTATAAAAAGGTAGAATTTGCCCGGAAAGAAAAAGAACTAAAGCATGCAAGCACATTCAAGAATTTTCATAGCACTTTTGTCATCCGACTTTATGAGCATTCTCGCACTTTTTATTTTAGCAATTTCATGTTAACGATTTCCTGAATTACATTTTATTATCAACATATATAGAACTCAGATTTGGAGAAAGATTGGTTATAATGAAACATTTAAGTTACAAAAATTTTTAATGCAAAAAGTTTTTAAAAACTGACAAATTTGCTTTTGGTTAAAGAAATGGCTCACAGGTTGCATAGCCCTTCCAACAAATAATCAAGGTTATAAAAAAATAACATATTTTACGTTGCAACTTGTTGTTTTTAAAACAATATTTTATAATCGAAATGAGCATTTTAGAAGGAAAAAAAGGACCAAATTGGTTCAGCCGCTTTAAAGTTAAAAACTCAAATTTTCTAACACCTATATCTTTGCAACCTGGTGGTGTAAACCTTTTATTTTTCAACTTAGATCATTTAATCTTAGAGAATTTATGGATGGAAATATCTAAGGTCTGCGACACTGGGATACTAAGATACTAAGATACTAAGATATAGGAAAGAAAATTTGAGTTTGTTACAAAAACTCGTTTTCTTTGTAGACAGAAGATTCGTTAGAATTGCTGATCAAACGCTATACCTGTATTCTAGCTTCTGAAAGTCCAGTTTTTTGAGACAAAAGCTCTCTTGTTTTTAGATCTGGATAATGGGTTTTCTCAAACTCTTTCTCCAGCTGCTCAAGCTGGTCAGTCTCAAAGGAAGTTCTGCTGCGCCGAAATTGCGGACTGTCGTCTTCGTTCTCTCCCTCGATTAGTTCCGGTTTTGAGCCTATAGAGGAGAAGATTATGCTAATGCTTATTTTTCTTTCTTTATTTTAAAAGATTTTAGTGAATTCTCCCTCGTCCAGTGTTGTATAGCAGTGTTGTACAGACAGTCATATACGCATAGTGTTGATTGGACAGTTTCGAAGTTTTGTAACATACAGTGTTGTACCGAAAAAGTTATACAAGTAATAAGAAGTACGTAACTATATGTATTATGTACAGCCAGTATCTTCCAGAAAAGTTGTACAATTGTTCGAAATGTCTTCTTCTATACCTTATACCATAACAAAGTTGTACAGTTAGTGTTTTACAGAACGTGTTGCACTGTTGATAGTACAGTACAAGTCAAACAATATTTACCTGAACTATCAAATGGTTTCCGTTCTGATGGTTCTTTAGGTTTGAGGATTGCTGGTAGGAGGGGATGTTGGGCTCCGCCCCATAAACCTAGAGCTGATGGCAGGGAGAACGGAGAAAACCAGGGATAATTCACCTTCGCAAAATAAAAAAAATTATATTTTGAAATAATAAAAGTTTGAGACAAAAATACTATGTTGAAAACGTTTTTAAGGAAGACTGAGTTTTGAAAATTTATTAACATTTAAATATGACTTATTGGAGTGAATACACATAAATATTTTTACATGGATAATTAAACTGTTCTTAGTTTTAATATCTTTCAACAGTAAATCTATATTTTGATATTTATATTGCACATTCACTCAAAATAGTTTGCTGATTTACTTGTCAAAAAAGAAAGAAAAATAATTGTATCAGTGAATAACTTTTATATATTTTAAAGTTTTCTCACAAGCAGCGTGCATGTGTCAGTCAAGTTTATTGATTTCAAATTACTTTTTGGGTCCACGGAATAAAATTGATAGCAAATTGTCTTTAAAAAAACATCTGATAAAAATTTGAAAATATTGCCGAAACAAAAATGATTTAAATGAAGTGAAGACGAATTTTTTTTGAGAACCTCAAGCTGCACTATAGTTTCAGTAGAAGTAAATATTTCCATTAACTGATAGCGCCGATTAAAGGATTCATATCTCTAATTGGATAATGAAATAGATAGAAAGATAGATGTTACCGCCATACTATTTCTATTGGTTCAAAATCGAAAACAAACACATAACTGAACCCTGATTGGATCAGTGTTTAGACTTTAAACTTTTATTTGAGCAATAATTAGGAAAATGATGTCACTTCAAATCCATCTGGGAAAGTGTTGAATACTGAAAATTTCCAATTTTATGTTACTCTGCATGAAACCTCAAGTCACATTTATATAGAAACCAGAATTGGAAAAACTGTAACTTTGTAATTTTTTTTTGGTAAGACGCAGGTTTAAAGAGTAACTTGAAATTGCGTGCACATTCATTTTTTATGCGTTCAAGTCCCGTAAAAAATCACACAATTATAATGTTGTTTTAAGTTTTTACCCAACTTAATTATAAATAAAACCCGTACCTGGGTTGCGTGAGCATATTCTGCTGCGGCTCGCTCTGCGGCTCGGTTCCGTAGAATTCTGTTGATAGATGATACACTCGGGGCGGTGTTATTTGTGCACACCCCTTCAAATAAATATTTAATTTAAGCAAGGTCTTCACATTGAAAAGTAAAAACTTTAGAATTCCCCCCCCCTGGAATGCCATTAAAGGTTAAGCGCCCCTCCCCCTATGATTAAACTTAATGTATACGCCCCTGCAAATAAATATTTAATTTTATAAGCAAGGTACCTTTGATTAAACTTAATGTATACGCCCCTGCAAATAAATCTCTCCACCTCCTAAAAAAAATCAACTCACCGTCTGAAATTAATTTCTCCCGAATCTCCCAGGCGAAAATTGTCGGATTGTCTCTTTTATATGATTCTATTTTTGCAACAACCTCGGGAGTTGCAACTTTGGGTTTTGACCCACCGATCATCCCAGGGACACGACCGGCGTGGGCCGGCACAGGAACCGGTTTTGCAGGCAGGGAGGAGAGAACAGGTGAAGCACTGCTCTGACCAGCATACCGGGCCTAAAAATTACGAATTTTATCTGAAAAAATAAAAAAATTGTCATTTTTTCAAAATTGAAAAAGGGGCCGGTAAACTCTGCAGTCATTCGATTCATTTGAAGTACCGCACTGACCTAAAGGCAGCCAGAGCAAATTGTACAGTTTTACATGCATGATAGGTAAAACGGGGCAGTACACCAAATAAATCATTTCCTCCTAGAGCAAGAAAATTGTGCCTTATTCACTGAAAACTCCATTTCATTTGAAGTATGTACCATTCAGGGGAGTACGAGAGCATTTGTGTAGGGGGGCACATTTTTCGCCTCCCCCCCTTAAAAACCCCTTTTTTAAAAATATTGATATATTGTTTAACTATGTAAACTATTCGATCCTATACACACTTCCATATTACAAGTGTTTATAAATTATTCATGTAATTTTCTAATCTGGACTTATTAGACACTCCTTCTTAATACTGTGGTGTAAGCTTCTAGGGGTGAAAAATAGAAATGGAAACGTTTCTTTAAAAATATCTACATTTTCATAGGATACATATTGTATTATAAATAATGATAGAATATAAATATTTACACTGAAGGTATTATTGATTAAAGTTTTTTTAATGAAATCTGTAGTTAAGATCAAAAGTGAGATTTTAAATTATTTTTCATTATACGATGTAATTATTCTTAAATGGAATACATGCGTGATTTCAAGTGACCCTCCATTTATAGAGTGGCATGTCCAATGTATCTTTGAAGCCTTTATTTCTACATCGTTTCTTAAGCAAAAAAGGCATGAGTCACTTTTGTAGAGAAACCACAAATAAAAATAATCAGTTTTCAAAATGGGAAACATGGATATTTAATGTAATACTTGATCAGACAAAGTTAGGGTATTGTTGTGAATCAGAATATAATTTATTTCTTTTCTTTATCTTTTAGTTTGGGTGAGTGATATGCAATGCAATGTAGGATGTAGATTGCCTGAGGAAGGGAAATGCAAGCAGATGTAATGTAACAAGAGCAACCCCCCCCCCTCATGGGTGTCCCCCCTCAGGGGGGCACGTAAAGGGGGGAGCCGGGGTGCTCGGCCCCCTCGTACGCCCCCGGCACCATATTGACATTTAGGCTGCTAGAACAAGTTGTACAACATACACTACTAATCGAAACGGGACAGTAAACTAAACGAATTATCCCCTTCTATTTCAGACTAATGTGATTGACGCCATGCTTTTAATTCCATTTTCTAAATGTCGTCTTTACCTGAAGCTCTAGCAGTTGTTGGTGTGATGAGAGTGCTCGTAATGTTGAGAGCTGGGAGAAGGGGAAAGGGAAATGTGGGAAGGGTTTAGGAGCAGTCAGGAGGCCATCTTGTTTTACAGATATACTTAAACCTAAGAAATTATTCTTTATCATAACAAACAAAAACAAGAAAAACGGGATTAACATTTTGTGAAAACATTTTTGATCAGGTAATCAGATTAGCTATTGTCAACGAAAACATTGAATAAGATTTAAAAGTTACTTTTTTTGTCCATTTAAAGCAAACCTTTATGTAAAATTCATTTAATAGCGCGCTCAGGTAAAAGAAACCAATAGAAAAAATCCCTTATCTCAGACAGAAACGATCTAAACTTTTATGTCTTCATTAATTTTCAATTAAATGACAGAAATTATTAAAACTTAAAACAACCTTTAAATATAGAAATTTTCTTCAACCCGATCCGTCCAAATTTTATTGAAATTAGTTGTGATATGATAAAAATTTGTTACTTTTGGCACAGAAAACAGGGTCTACCCCCCCCCCTAAACCACTCTACATGTATCTTTAAAGCTGAATATTTTTTTCAAAAATTATTGTGTAATTATCTTGACAAAAAGAACATTAACATAGAACGCAGACACGAAATTAGTCTCGCTTTTCATCATCTTTTTAAAAACAGTATTTTATGGAAGATATTTAAGGAGATAGAACCAATAATGAATAAGAAAAATAGGAAAAAAAAAACACAGAGAAAAATAAAAATTGAGGAAGAATGGTTGACAACGAATGGTTTAAGAGAGTATAAAGAAGGAAACGATAAAGAATTGAATAAGGATGATTTAAAAGAAAAAGCATGAAAGGAGAAAATAAAAAACTAATAAAAACTCGCGTTAAAGAAATATAAAAAAATAATTTTTAAAAAAATAAAGAAGGAGAACGTAAAAATGTGCTAGAACACGCAGAGAAAGAATGGTTCCTCATTAAAATATAAAGTTTCATACGAAAAGAATATGAAAATTCATTTAAGAATCGTAATAACAAAGGACAGAAAAGGTATGAAAAGCGACAAAGAAAACATACTAAACTATTCCTAGATATAAATTTGAAGTGCAAGATCCAAAAAAGAAATACAATCTTTATAAAAGAAATCCTCTGTTACTGAAATAATTAAAAAATTGTGCAAAAAATGCAAATAATCATAGACGTGGAATAAATATATATGGAATATGGATATAGTTCAAGAATTTAATTTCTTAATTTTTAACATCTTTAAATTTTAAAATCTTTTGCACTTTCAAAGTTTTAAAATACTAATTGCATGAAGTCATGCAACGTCCGTTATTATTTTTGCGTAAAATTTTCTATAATGTGCAGAATTTATTTTTAGAAACTTCATTAAAACTGTTTAAATTTTAAGCATAAGATTATTGATAGATTTCCCGCAACAATAATATAGATATACACGACACCTGTTGATTTCTTGATCTTTAAATCAGATAAACTAGAAATAATTTTTGTCGTTTTTTTCTTAAAAATCTCAGACTTACCTTCCGATGATGATGGTATTTTATTGTAATCAGAGAAAATGATATTCATCGTGGCATAACTTGATTCCCCGTGATTAATTGATTTATTATTGGTTTGGTTTGGCTCTGTATGCTACTGCTCACACTGCCTGATGGGTACTGTTTACCCTGCCTAGGTTCTGCCTGTGAATCTGTTTAATCTTGCCGCCAAGTCTCCCATTGGTCCCGAACTTCCATGTGTAACCTAACTCGATCTTTCGGACAAATTTCCGCCTGCCCCGCCGCGTAGAAGTTTGAGCATGCCGCATGATAAAAATCCACGAACAGAACCACGCCGCGTAGACGCAAGGAACACCTATTCAAACCCAGTGCAGGCGAACACCGTTTATTGACGTTTATTGAGAATGCCGTCAAACGATTTAGAGTTCGGAGAAGTGTAAGCACGATTTATTTATATGACTTTCCGTTTATTTTGGAAAGGTGGCCGGAGACATTCTGATAATATAAACTCGAGGATCTAAGCTTTTTAGTCACAATTCAAAAAATTGCACACAAATCGTATTTGAAAAAAAATTAATGATTTTTATGATGGCAGATTATAGAAGATGATCAGAAAGATTCTCAAAGTTTCCATTTCCGGCGAAGTCTTTTGAAAAATGTCAATCAGACCGGATTTTTTGAAAATCATGTTATCGTTAATCAGTCTGGCTTTGTCTGCGTTTTTCACACAGATTTGGAGATAATTTGTTAAATAAATTAATAGTGGAGAATGAATGGTGTCCTAGGACCGTTAACTCTTTATACTCTTACGATTAGACAATTCGAAAATAAAAAGTAACTCAAGACAAACTTAAAATTAGGATTCTTTTTTAAACTTTACAAACTATGCGAACTATACAGAAGGCTGGAGAAGGTAAAATTGATGTGACATTACTGGTCCTACTTTGTGACCTCGTAGATCTTATTCACAAATATGATAAATGCAAATTTAAAACCATTTTTACTTTTCTGATTAGCTCTTTAATAAAATAAGTTATGATTAAAAACTTATGATATTAATTTTACAACTTAAGTTTGAGGTTTTTAACGATTTGAAACTCTTAAAATATGAAGAATATTGATTTTTTTTTATTTGGTCTGATGCTGTGAATACGTAACCTTATGATTTGTCAAAGACAGAGATACCTTCAAAACTCCAGAGAACCAGGGGCGTACACGGGAATTAGTACATGGGGGGAGGGGCTTAAATTTCTTTCTTTCCATGGGGGACTCATTGTAAATTACTAAAAAAACTGAAGGTCATAATTAAGTTTTACCCTGGGTTTGAATGGGTTGGTTTTTAACTCTTTACGTCTCGTATCATTATCCAATCCTATCTTTATTAGGTTGAGTTAAACATAAATACAAAGCTCCGACTTCAACCTCTAACACGGATACTAGGTTTACTCCCTTTACTGTGCTACCAGTTAAGCAAAGTACCTGGAGACAAGGAGAACCAGAATATATAAGACTGCTTACTGCTAAGCAGTCTTATATATTTTGGTTCGCCTCTGACAATTGTTATAAAATTACACCAAAACATATCAGTGTTTTAAGAAATATTTCTTTGGTTCTAAAGTGTTTGTTAAACCAGATAAAGGACAAATAGCAACGCTTCAAAGTTAACCCAATCTTAAAAGTTCTCTAGGGGCTCCAAGGACTCCAGGGACTCTACAGACTCCAGGGACTCTACAGATTCCAGGGACCCTACAGAATCCAGGGACTCTACAGACTCCAGGGACTCTACAGACTCCAGGGACTCATTAGACTTAAGAGACTCTATTACTCAAGGGACTCCATGGACTCTAGGGACTCCAGGGACTCCAGGCACTCCAGAGACTTTAGGGACTCTAAGGACTCCTAAGGACTCTAAGGGCCTCCGCTGTCGATGTTGCCAAGCTTAGAGAACAGTTCAGGGCTAAACCACCGGAGAGAAACTCTTGTAAATTCTATTATATTATTCTTCAAAAGAATGTTGCGAACACTCCCTTTAATATTTTAGTCTCATAAACGCGACTAACCAAACTAGGATTTTTTTCTTTGTATTTCTGTAAAGTTACCACTCCATGGTTTTAAAACTTGACAAGAAGTGTTTGCGTAATTAACAACAATTAAGGATAATCCCTTTTTAAATTCAGAATTAAATGGTGGCCGGGGTGGCTCAATTTTCCATCTAATTTTTCACGAAAAGTCCTACTGAACTGACCAAGGGAAAAAGTGAAATCTTTGAAATATTTTCTAAAAGTTAAATTTTTATATTTTGGCCATTTAAACTGCGTGCCGAGTGCAGTGTTAAGATTGTGTTTAGTGTTTGCACTTTTTCAGTTTCCAATTCAGGTTTTGGATTCTCTGATAGCTATCAGTCCTGAAAATGACCAAATTAGTGCTCCGGGTGGAGGGGGAGGGGGGGAGGGGGAATGGGTTAAGGGGGGAGTAAAAGCTACCACTTTATCTAAAACATCCACTCAAGAGATTTAAGGACCCAGCCTAGAGATGGAAGCTGAGAACTTTTTACATTTTAATTACTTTCAAGTTTAAACATTTTTATGTTTAAGCACACACATCGTAAATGCACGCTGATAAATGCGCTTTTACCGTTAAAAAAAAGTATTTTTAGTAACATCGTCGAACAAAGCAGAGCTTTCTCAATTTCATAAATCTTAAACATTATCTAGCTCAATAAAACAGCCATTTTAATCTATTATGTCTGTGGATAAGTCATCACCATTTGTTTAAGTTCTGGCGTTAACATCTCTGTGCATTTCCTGGTCTTAGGCGTTGAATAAGTCAAGTGCTAAATCTTGTTGTTATCTTATAGAGCTAAATACTTTTACCGGCTAATTTCAACTTGGACTGTGCAGGCGATTTATTTATATGACTTT